AGAATTCTGTGTCAAAGGCTGGCTCTCGAACTCCTGGCCTCCAGCAATCCTCTTGCCTCGGCCTCCAAAAGTGCCGGATTTCAGGGGTGAACCACTGGCCTGTCCAAGTTATGCTGCCATTATACTCACAGAGGATATGTAAATTAATGACTTTGCTATGTTCCAATAAAACTTTATTATAAAAACAGACGGTGGGGCCGAAAAGGGCTCACAAACCAATGATTCCTGCTCCTTGACGTAGATGGTCTCAATATTTACCTTATTTTAGACAACACCGTCTTCAACAGTTTCCAAGTCAACAACCGTAGGCCCTTCCCACCTCCCTCTGACATTGGGGTTGGCCCCCAAATGGCCAATTAATTTCTATTTATAGTAGAGACGGGGTCTTGCTCTTGCTCAGGCTGGTTTTGAACTCCTGACCTCGAGCAATCCGCCCACCTCGGCCTCCCGGAGTGCTAGGATTACAGGCGTGAGCCACCGCACCCGGCCCGCCGTCTGTTTTTATAAATAAAGTTTTATTGGAACACAGCCAAAGTCATTTATTTACATAACCTCTATGGGTATAATGGCAGCATAAACTTGGGACAGGCAGTGGTTCACGCCTGAAATCCCGGCACTTTGGGAGGCTGAGGTGAGAGGATTGCTGGAGGCCAGGAGTTCGAGACCAGCCTGCACGACAGAGCAAGATCCTGTCTCAAAAAAAAACAGAAACAAAAACAAAAAAAAGTATAAACAGAGACTGCGTCTGGCTGAAAATATTTATTGTAATACCTGGTCCTTTACAGAAGAGAGTTTGCTGCTCGCCCCAGCATATGTGAATGAAAAAGCAAAACCAGACCAAGGAATGCTCACTATCACGTCTGTGGGTGTGCACGAATATTTGCAAACCTGGAAGCCAGAATGGAGATGCTTCTGGGACAGGTGATGGGCAGGAAAATTGTGTAGAAACTTGGACTATATTATGTCTTCCATTGGAGAAGGGAGGTGGGCAACTGCACCTGTCTGCAGGTGGGCACATTTATCCACTTGCAGCCCTCGAAGCTTGCATGCTCCAGTTGTCCCGGATCCTCAGTTTCCTCATCTGTAAACTGGGCACCATCAAACCTTCCTGG